AAAGTGCTGGGATTACAGGCGTGAGCCACCGCGCCCGGCCCCAAAGCTCATTTATACAGCGAAATTTTACCCCAGTAAGAAATGAATGTGTTCAATAGCTAAGAAATAAACCAACCTGTAGAGTCTCAAAGACAGTATTTGAAAACAGTTAAGAACAAGACCCAAAAAGTAAATAATCTTTGTTTTCACAGGTGCTAAAGGCATGATTTACCTCTGGGTGGCCAGCTATTGTAGCAATATGGAGGGCAGTGAGGCCACCATATCCAACCTGCTGTATATCAGCTCCACTGTGAAGCAGAGAAGTGATCAATTCTGTATTATCCTGTAAGGAAACATATCTTTAGTGTTACTTTTCTGCTAGTAACAAGTTCAAAAGCTGTGCAACTAGATGTATTGATTTTCTGTCTATCAGCCAGTTCAGGTGCTTAAAGGAAACTTAAGTGCGATTTCTAGCATAAGAGCACCTTAGATATCAGAGAATAGTTCTCAGATGGTGGAAATGTAGGACCAAATGACAAAGGTGTTCAGTTCTAATCAATCCTCTACCACTTGAACAAGACAGACAGAAAGGACATTACCTATGGTGAGACTCTTGCAACCACAAACTCAGTTTTACATGTAGGTTACTCCAATGAATATGCTTTCCCAGCAACTAGAATTAACTCCCAGTGAGGTCAGGAATTTACAGAAACAGTTTAAAGATTTACTTTTTTTTTCTTTTAGAGATGAGGATGAAATATGCTATCTAAGAAGAGAGCATGAACCAAGTACTGAACAAAGTGCATGCAGCCCAGTAGGCTGTTTCATGATAGTTATTTCTTAGTATCAAATAGTAATCAGATAGTAATTTCTTCTTATCAAATACATAATTTGTATTCTTATCAAATACATAATTTCTTCTTATCAAATACATAATTAGTATCAAATAGTAATCAGATAGTAATTTCTTCTTATCAAATACATAATATCATTAAATCTATGAACAATTAATTCATAATATCTTTCTTAACTTGACTCATTTTACCAGTGAATATGTTAGAACCATTATTTGAGCCTCTAAATTTGAAAAATTTGTGCAACAATATTCTTACTTTTTTATAATATGATTTGTATTGTATTTCTGCCTCTGGAAATACATGAAATAATATTTATAATATTAATAGCAATTAACATTCATTGACTTTTTATTTTGTAATTCAATATTGTAATTTCGTATTGTATATAATCTTTATAATACAAAGATTTCCATGTTTAAGCCTCAAAGTAGGAATTTAAACCACAACTTCTATAATGTTTGGTCTATCAACACACCAAGTAACAATAAAGTCAAGTCATAAGATAGGCCAGTGCATTTATGGCTTACATACATATAATATCAAATACTGTTTGTTAAGAAAACTTTACCATTAAAAGACAAAGTTTGATTTTTTAATGCTGTCACACCTACATAAAGGCCTACAAGAAGTTCTAAAAAATGAAAAAACTTTGGTAAAGAGCTACAAATAGTAAAATTAATGTTATAGTTTCCAAATCTTCTCCTTTTTCTATTCGCTTTCTCAAGAAAGTGAAATAAATATTGCATCTTCAACCTTTCTTCTTGCATTGGCTCTATATGCTTGAACTATAAACTTATGTTTTCTCCATTACAAAAAAAAAAAAGGTTTTTTTTTCCACTGAAGCTAAGCTAATTTTATCCCTATTCTTGCCTCCATATTCCAACCTTCTGAAAAAAAGATATTGAATCTGTTGACAGTTCCAATCTCATTTCTTTAGCAATCTTTAGGTAGGTATACCCAAGTTCTACATAAATCTCAAATGAGTTCATCATACTTATTCTACATTGAATCTTGCTTTTCTCACACTTCTCCTCACTAAGGCAGATTATTTCCCGCTTCTCTTTGCATTGTATTACCAGGAGAAGTCACCATGACTGTTTCTTCCACCAGAGGCATTAAGGACCTCACCAGTCTCCTCAAATCACTTCCTCAATTTCTAAAGGTAAACTATTTATCAAAACCAGTGTCTTTGTAGTCATTCTCTCTATGATTGGATCATCTCTCTCGTCTCAAAATTCTTGTCTCCTTTGCTTTCCTAAAACTATACATTCTTTGATTCCTTTTTGTTGCCTATTCTTTGTTTCTGATTGTCTTCTAAAAGTGTATGATTTGGAAATTTAGCCCTAAGCTGCTTTCCCATTCCTAAATCCCACTTTGGTAATTCTTACACAATCTGACAAATGCAGCTTTGGTCCCGACTTCTCTGCTAACTCTGAGTCCCATATATTTTGCCTATTAATGACATCTCAAATGCAAAATTCGAAATTGTTCTTGTAATTATCATTTATAATTTTCCCAGGCTGACTTTTCATCTAACATTCCTTACTTATATGAATGGCACTTTTTTATTCCAAGGGACCTAGAGTCCCTTCAGCTCAGTTTCAGAATTTTACTGGTTTTAACTGACTTATACTTCTCACATTTCTTCTCCTTATTTCTAGCATCATCCTCCATATTATGCAGCTTCCTAACTAGTCTCCTCAACTGATACTTTTTCTCACTGCAGTCCATCCTCCATACTATTAGATACATTTTCCTACATCCAGTTTTGATCATGCATTTCTCTCTTCAATACACCCTTTATATGCCAAACAAGTATTTATTGAGCATATCTGGTGTATTAAACTCTTTTCTGAGCAGTGGTGACACTGCAGTGAGTAAAGATAGTGAAATCCCTGCTCTCACAGAGCTTATATTTTACACAGAGCTTATGTTTATATGAATGAAGAGACAAAAAGTAAACAAATAAGAAATTGCGATACAGTAGCTTAAAGTATCAACTGCTATGAGATGAAAACAAACAAATGATTAGATGGCTATTTTAAACTGGTTAATCAGGGAAAGCTTCACTGCAGAGGTGACCTTTTAGATAAATGGTAAATGGCAGAAAGTCACAATTTCAAGGATAAACATTAAAATATGAAAAATAGTGCAAAAGTTGTAAGACAGATATAAGTTTGTTGTGTTCGAAGACCAGCAACAAGACCAACGTTGAGTGAATGGTTAAACAAATGAAAAAAAGTTTTCAAGATGAGGTCAAAGATGTATAATCTTGCAGAACCTTCTAGGCCATGGTATGGGGTATTTGGATTTTTTTCCAAGTGCAATAAGCAATAGGGAAATAAAATGAGAGAGAGATAGGGAAGAACCAGAAAGAAGCAGATTTTGAGGCAGAAGTAAAATGTTTCATTTTCACATGTTAAATTTGAGCTGCATATAATGCAGGGTTAAGATGCAGGTCATAGAATTAGCCTCCCTAATTAGAATTTCAGCTCTGACAATGACTATGTGA